GCTTTTTTTTTTTATGATGTTTGTCCTTGGTGTCGGCAGCGCAGTAGGAATGACCACGGGCATTATCACAGTGATAAACGAGCAGTTTCCAAACTTGAAAACGTGGCAAATCGTAGTTCCAACCTGTTTGCTTGGTTTTTCAATTGGCACGGTCTACGTAACACCAGTTAGTATAAAATTACTACTCAATTAAAGGGAATCTAATATCCAACGTATGTGTGTGTGTGCGTGCGTGCGTGCGTACGTGCGTGCGTGCGTGCATGTGTGTGTGCGCGCGTGTGAGTGTGTATACAATCTTAGCAATGACAGAATTTTACAGGGCGGGCAATTTATATTAACTTTAGTAGACTATTACGGTACGTCATTCGTCGTTTTCATCCTGGCGTCATTTGAGATGACTGGAGTGATATGGTTTTATGGTAAGAATTATTTTTAACAAGAATTTACGGTAAGATAAAAAAATTGTATTTAATTATATCACATATCTTACAAGTAAACCTATCCAAGTGTTACATTCCAATTTTGATAAGCTTTAAGTATGTTGTAATCTAGATCAAAGAGACACGTATTTTTTTATATGTCCATACGGTTGTTAAGGGGGTGAAACCACAGATTTATATAAACAGACTTTGCATTCATATTTGAAGACAGCGCTGGACAGCGCTATATTTCACTCACTCTTATATGACAATTACATGGAATATGGATAATAATGTAATGTTTTCACATAAATTCTTGTGATACTCATACACAGGACGCATGCATATGCATATGTGAACTGAAACAGCGTAAAATCAGGTTTATCTCTTTCTATCACAATGAGCCAACAGTCTAGTTATAGAAGTCTGTGAGTGAAACATTCTCTTGAAAAAAATTGGTTTTTATATTTTTGTACTAATATTATCGAAACGGCAAAGGATGTAAAAAAAAATTTTAATGAAGGTTTTTAATGCATTTTATAATACACAATTCACTCAAATTTTTCGAAAAATGAATTTTTCAAAATCCCTTTAACTTTTAAAAATTTATGATTTCTTATAGCAAAATATAGCATATTTAATAATAAATACAATTATGATAAAGTTATATTGTGAAGACGCATTTTTCAAAATATATTTATATAGAATGATTAATAAGAAAACCTCTTACAGAGGTAGAGCGAATTAAACTGACGTTTAGTTTAATCTACAGACAGATCTACAGACAGAACTCAATCACTTAAAAACAGCCTTACAGAAAAACGGACACGACAAAAACGATATAATCAACAAAACAATCAAAAACAAACAAAACAAACAAGACAACGGTCTCTGACACACAATCAGATGAGAGGATCCTATCCATTCTCCCATATATCAAAGGAACAACAGATCGGATTGGCAGGATATTAAACAAACACAATGTCCGAATTATATCTATAAATCACCCAAAAAGATAGAACAAATCTTAAGAAATCCTAAAGATCAAAGACCTCCACTTAATTTCGCAGGAGTGTACAAAATATCTTGTTTCTGCGGGCAAGTATACATTAGAGAAACTGGGAGAATGGTCAACCTACTGGATAAAAGAACACCAACGTGATGTTAAAATATGTCACCCAATCAGCACTACCAGAACAACATCGAAACTGGACATCAAATATTGTTTGACAAAACAACCACAATAGCCAACATTACATCATACTTTCTAAGAAATCTTCTATAGAGAAGCCACAGAGATACAAAAACACCCTAACAATCTAAATATAGATAATGGCTACAACATAAATAAAATATTGAAAACTATTCTCCCGGTTAATGCAGACTGACCGATTTCCTCCACCCTTCTCCCCCCAATTCTTTTTTTTCCCCTCCACCACTCCACAAGTAGCGTAATATATAAAAAGGGGCGACCCGGAAGAACAGCTCAGTATCAGGTTGCTCCTCGCCTTGATAAAGTGAACTGCAAAGTTTACGAAACGTTGGCATTCCAAGAATGGATCTGGACACGGAAGAGACCCGCGAAACGCATAATCTTTATAATATACATTTATTTGTAAAGCGGCAAGAATTTTAAAAGATATGTTATCAAATAAAAAACTTATAATATCTACGTATGTTAGCATAAATGATTTTTTTGTTACTTACAAAAGATTAATTTATTTTACAAAACTTACGGGGGGTACAATAAATAATACCAAGAAATCAAGAATCGCAACGCTTGCAGCGATCTTCTACTGATTAAGTTGCAGAAATTAGTCCTTGATGATGCTGATGATTACATTGCAGAAGACAACGATAGATACCCAACACAAAAATTAGGAAGAGGAATATGGCGAAAAATTATAATATGGCTATAAATTTTGCCAAGGCTTCCGGATAAGATACAAAAGTCAGGCATGTCTCTGCACGTACATACAACGCTGCCAATAATCATTACCGATCTCGTGGACGATTTCAAAAATAGTCATGCCCGCCATCAAGCTGAGAAGATCCAGACTTGTCATGGTCGTGCAATCCTTGCAAGTCTTCTGTTGATTTTCTATTAAATTCATTATGCATTTAAATTTTATGTACTTAGAACTTTCTAGTACGACTAATACGTAGTTCCATTTTTATCTTGACGAAAAAAACTATCATAATGTTACGTCCATACGGAGTAAGAATATAAGAAATAACGAACTGCGCGACACGTGCGAGTCACGAGATTAGCGGAAGGAGATTAGAGGAAGGAAAAGATTGATTGAATATTTCTTCAGATAAGGGAGGTATGATTAATCAAAATCGAGTCTCAGATTGAGCGACAAATCAAAAAACGACAACCTTAACTCGAAACCTTAACTAACAAATTCGAATTAACAGAATTTTAGAAACAGATAATTTATTAATTAATTTATGGCAATAGAAAAATGGTAAAGATAAAGGAAATTGCTATAACTGACATTTTACACACTCAAATTGAGCAAGTGAAATTAGTAGATCAATTTTAATTAATTATATTTAATAAGTAACAAGATTTAAGAAGAATTTTAAAGATTCGAGTAAGTTCATCATTTTGTACCTGCTGGAGAAGGAAAGAAAGATTGTGGGAAGAAAGTCACGCACCGTATATCGTTTCTTATTTATTTCTATTTCGTATCCAAAAGACACCCGAAAAATCTTCCATTCATCAACACGTGTATCAGAGACGAAGAAGCTGTCGCGGAAAAATGCGGTTTCTCGGACACTGTAGCGAGGCGGCGGGAAGAGTAGCCTAGCTAATTGAACTCGTCGGCCCGCGCGGCGGGCCTTTCCTAGTCATGATAGGTATGAGAAAGAAAAAAGACATAAATGGAGAAACTAAATTATTATGCGAGACACAAGAACAAAGAGAGGAAAGAGGGAAAGGAAATAAGAAAAAAGGGCGCGCTATAATTTATATCAATCTTCTTTGCAGAGATATCAGAAGATTCCAACACTAATGAAAGCGCATTGGCAGGATGGTATTTTCTCTATGGAAATTGTTAGAAAGACTAAGGATTAACTGCCAATTTTTGCCTTCGTCTATGTAGAGGAAAGGCGGAAAAAGGAGCCGGATTCCAAGAATCAGCTAGTTAGCTATCAGAGTGTTTAATAAGTAATGATAAAGCTCTCGCACAGGGATGGAGCAGTCTAAACTGAGACGAAAAGTCCTCTACCATTTTACAATTTCGCAATAGTTAATAAAATATCAATTACTAAAAATTACCGAATATTGGTTTTAATGAATTTTTTACTCAAATATTATCAACTTTACAAAAAAATAGCAAGAAATAAAAATTGTTTATTTTCTTCTCATAGAGTTCTGAGAATTTTTTCAGAATTTTTTAATTTTTTAATATTTTCTCATGGTGGTAAAAATAAAAAATGCAGTATTAAAAAGTTAAAAAGATAAAAAATTCTTAGAGAAAATTCTATAAGAAGAAAATTAATAATTTTTGTCTTTTGCAAATTTTCTGTGAATTCTGTTGATAGTATTTGAGTAAAAAATTATTGAAGAATAATATTTAGTGACTTTTAATAAAATATCTCATTAATCGAAAATTGTAAACTTATGGGACCTTATGTATGTGTGTGTGTGTGCATGCGTGTGTGTGTGCATGCGTGCGTGCGTGCGTGCGTGCGTGCGTGTTAGCAATTATTTTTATCAACATGAGAAAATGTAGTACTAAAAAAATTCTGAAAAAATCCTTAGAACTGTATGAGAAGAAAATTAATAATTTTTATCACTTCTGTAAAGTTGATAGTACTTGAGTAAAAAATTATTGAAAACCAATATTCAACGATTTTTGATAATTAATATCTTGTTAACTACTGCGAAAATTGTAAAATGATAGAGAATTTCTCGACTCAGTTTAGTCCGTTCTACTTATATGCTGTTAAAGTTTTATTGTTATATATCAAACATCCTGTTTAAAAGAAAATTTTAGAAAAAGCATATAATAATAGGTGCCATGTAGCCGATGAGGTGCGCGAATAGTGATGTAAAGGTATATCTAGCTTATTTCTGAAAAGTGCATCTTCGCGATATAACTTTACATGATTGTATTTATCGTTAAATATATATGTTATAAGTTTTGCTATAGAACAAATTTTGAAATTTTCAGAAATTGAGGAAATAGAGATTTCGGAAAAAGATATTTTTGAAAAATCTAAGTGAACTGTTATACTTAAAGTACATTAAAATCCATAAATCTTTTATTTAATTTAACTTTTAAATATATATTTTATCGTTTCGAAGATATTAGCACAAAACCGATTTTTTCAATACATAAACCGATTTTTTTCAAGAGGATGTTTTACTCCTTTAAGAACCATATGGGCACATATAAAAAAAAACGTGTCTCTTACTTTGACCTAGATCATAACATACTCAAAGCTTATTAAAATCAGAGTGTTAACGCTTGAGTAGTTTACTTGTTAATTCTATTTGTGCTTTTATTTATCATGGCTCAATTTAGGTCTAGAAAACTTTTTGGAGGACTTAGAATTTATGCTGGACCGAAAGCCAAGCGTTTATTGGAGGATATGCTGGTTTATAGTGACGCCGTTTATATTGATAACAATCTTCATTTATACCATAGCCACCTTAACGCCTTTGACCTACGGTGGAACATTGTTGCCTGGATACGCGCATGCCATTGGATGGACAATATTCGGCATTGGTATTGTTCAAATACCGCTGTGGATGCTGATTGCGATGTTAAAGAATCGAAAATTGCCGTTTATACAGGTATTACCTCGAAAAGAAAGTCACGTTACAAACACGTGAAAAATTTTATAAAAAAAACTTAAAAATCAGATGATTAAGGGCATTCGTTGCACTGTTTAAGATGTTAAAAAGAGCTTTTGCACCTGTGAATGAATGGGGTCCACGGGAAGTACAGCAACGTAAGGACTGGAGGATCTTTAAGGAGGAGAGAGCGAGAGATCGAGAGAAGAGGATCCAACCAATCTGGAAGCAAATACTCTACGTTCTTTTAAATATGAAACCAATATAGAGTAATTTTATACAGATTCAAAATACTATAAAGTTTTTCGAGTTTTTATAGTCGTTTCTGCCGCGGCGGGATCTGCGAGGCAAAACGACGATATAAGTTAACGAATATAAAAATTATTTGTTCTTCAATTCTTTAACTGCATATGGATTTATAGAAAGCTACTTTGTTTTTTTATTATTTAATCTTACAAATAATTGAAGAATAACTAGAAATGTGGCTCAATTATAATTTTTTAAAATTAAATATTCCATTATATTAATTGTTTTATATTATTAATCCGCATATATTATGCACTTATATATTTAATAGCAGTTAAAGAATTATTGTGTGCTTTACTTTTTGCTAGTTCCCATAAATCGTTACGTAATGTTGTACTATATGTAACGTGACAAAGAGCTGCCAATATTATTATCCTTTTATTAATCGCTATACGATAATTGCAATATAAACAAGTCGAATAACGAACAAAGTAATTATAACCTTTATATTATTTTAATTATTAATCTTTGCCAAATAGCACTGCTATAATTTCTGATTTCTTTGCCCATACTCGCAATATCTTCTTCGAGTTTAAATCTCTCCATTCATTGTATTTCTTTAGGTCTTTTGGACCAATCGGCGCTCGGCTTGAACATTTAAAAATAAAAAGCAATTAGTCACAATTTTATAATTTTCGACGATGCATATATTTGTATGCTAGAATTGTATTTAAATAAAATGCAAATGTATTACATTCGAGCACATTTTGTTTTTATTCCGAAATTCAACAATGATTATACTTAAAAGAAAGGGAAGAATTCTTAAAGCCAAAAGCGTCAAACTATAGCTGTAAAATGAAAAAGATATTTTGGGAAATTGTTCTATGAAATTGTTTTTTAATTATAATTAAATTTTTAATTTTTATATTATATACAGGTCCCATAACTTTTAATTGATATTCTGGGAATAAAAGAGAATGAAAGTTTGAACTAAATTTTGAACAAGATTTTGGAGTAGCCAAAATCTATGGGAGATTTACGTGTGAACGAGATAGGAATGTTAAAGAAAATGACAGGAAAAGAAAGAAAAGAGGAAACATAATGTTATAATTAAATGAAGGGGTCAGTAAAGTGCTTGCAGGGCAACAAAAAGAGAAATAATGATAATTATTCAGGAAACCTTTGATAGAAAATGAAGTTGGGTGAAAATTGCTAAGCGTGGATAGTCATACGCCCCTTAGCAAGAGGACAGGAAAATCGCTTTACGTGGAAAATCGCGCGCTTCTTGGTAGGAGAAAGGTGAGATGAAATCGCTTCATCACTATATTAAAACTATATAAAACTATTTAGTCAACAAAAATAATTTTTAATTCTAATTATTTCTTCATGTCAAAATCTTTAAAAAAGTAATTAGATCATTCAAATAAAATTTTAATATTTCGAAAACTAAACATTTCCGCAGCTTCGCATTTATGAATTTGACTACAATTAATTAGTATTACATTTCTGTAAAATTTCATCGAAATCGAGCTTGAGTAGTATACGAAAATTAAGCCTAATATTTTATTCTAATTTTGCAATTTAATTATTACTTTTATGATTAATAAGACTAAATTATATAACTAAAAAATAATTAATATCATATGCGGAGATTGGATAGTATTCGTCATTATACATGAGCGGTGTCATATCGATCAGGAAATAAATTAAGTTAATTGGTAAAGAAACAAGAACAAGGGAATCAAATAACATAACAGAATCTCCAGTAAAAGAATGATCATTGTCCTATCATGAACTCAACATCATCCATGAAATTGTCGACGTCTGGAAAATCGATGAGTTATACTCTCTCAAATAATTTCACGCAAAAATAAAATGAATTATTATCGTATACCCAAAAATGGCGATCATTTCGAAGAAAGCTAAAAACGATAATGAAGGTCCCATCGAAGTAATCTATTAAATTAAGAGTGTAGTGGCCGCTCTATTGATAAAGTAGATGTTATTTTATTACTTATATTTGTACTATTTTAAAACAACTTTATTATATTTCTTAATAATAGAAGTGTTAATGATAAAAATCGTTTCTTTCTTTACAAAGGAAAAAAATGATTATCTCTCTATTACACATTTATTAGTTTTATTGTGTTTAATTTCATTATTATTGTTGATAGAAGAATTGACTCTTTTATTCACAAGAAACTTATGACTCTACATCGATACTGTAAGTTTTTATTTAATAAAGTATCTTTTAAAATATATTCTTGCCGCTTTATAAGTAAATGTATAACAACTGAATCCAGAGATGATCCGTTTTAATCAATCTATTGGAATATCTCAAAGTCCTTAAGTTTAAGAAAAATTTCAGACAAAAAAGTTACTAGGAGAAAAAAAAAGATTATTTTAATTGATTTTAATCTCTAAGATCGGTTAATAATAATAATAATAATAATAATAATAATAGCTCGGGAGGCGATCTTCCAGTGAAGATCCACCAATGATATCCAGACATAGTCCAGATTGTGTCTTCCCTGAAGCAGAGAGCTTCCGATTATTTGAGGTCCGTTCTTCTCCAAAAGTAGGGAAGGTCTTTCACCGGAAGTCTTATCGGGCTCGAGCAAGTCTGAGCTCAAAAGCTGTCGCCTTAGTCCAACATAGGCTAGACACTGGCCTAAAATGTGGAAACTAGTTTCCTCAATATAATCACACTTCCTGAAAGTGTTGCACAATCCCAGTTTGTGCATGTGATAGTTGTGAAGCTCCCATGTAGATTTGCAACTTGCCAACTTGATCTCCGTATTGCTCAAGATTCTAATGCAATTGGCATGTTTCCGAGCCATTTGGTCTTGATTAATTCTTGACAATAGTTCATATTTTGGTCTCATAGCCAACTTCTGATCTTGCTCTGCAGACACTGCTAGGCACACCCAGAGCTGTGATCCTGGTCCCACCATTCTGGTAGTTGATCCAACTTTAGTTGGAAGTTAGTCAGCAATCTCATTGTCCTTGACTAGAGAGTGTCCCGGAACCCATATCAGAGCATTATTGTTGTTCGCTGTTAGGCAGTCCAGGGTGCATTTGCATTCCTGAAAAACCGAAAATTAAAAGTGTAAGACCCTAGCGCCGTACGGCTGTCGGAGCAGATCCTGATGCGCCTACATATCTTCCCTGAGATAATCAGCATCAAAGCACAGTTTAAGATCGCCATCACTTCCGATTACCGATAGAATATCGTGGCAAGTTTTCTAAATATAACTTCTTTGATTCCCTTTCGACATCCGTAGACATCGGCACCAGCGCCTGATCAATTCTGGAGATGTCCCCATTCTTGATAATTCCTACATATCCCCATTCTTGATAATGAGTACGTTATGCTTTCTTCAGTTTTCGCATTAGGAAAATAGATCTTGAAGGATCAATCCAGGTCACATTTGATTGGTATTCTATCTTGTTCCAGGAACTGTCTTGGAACAGCACAAGGACCCCTCCCCTCCCCCCCGATCTCTTTCGGCAGTCGAGTGTACAGCATCGATTCTTGTTCTCGCACTTTAGATGATAGGCAGTCGCAGCCCCATCTGCAATCACCGTAAGATGAAGCCGTTCAATATCAAATAGCAGTCCCATAATCAGCGTCATTCTTATGGCTCTCAGAGCTCCTCTAAGGATGAGTGTTCTGATTTGTTCTAACACTGCCTTGATCGCAGCTCTCTGCGCCCTATCAAACTACTGCCACATAAAGCAGCTTAGGGCAGAGCACTGTAATATACAGACAGTAAATTCTCTCCGATCGTAAACCTTATGTCTGCCCAAAGGTCCTTTTTTACACACCCAAAAGTAGATTTTCTTGCATGTTAGATCTAGCTGCAATTTTCAGGTTAGCCTCTTAGGATAGTCTCTTATCCAGGGTAACTCCAAGGTATTTAACTGATTCTTCAGGGGCAGGTCATCAACCCTGTTTAAGACACCTATGTAAGGACCTATCTAATACCTATCTAATACCTATCTAATACCTATCTAATACCTATAAGTGAAAATGACTCGTTTTCATCGGGTAACCGATAAGTCGGTCCCGTTACCTCTCCTGAACAATCTCCAGTGCTCTTTGTATGAGCTCAAGAAGCGTTTCAAGAAAGGATTATCGAACAAAGATTGTCAAGTCATCAGCACTCAATTGATTCTATCATTAAATTCCTTCAGTAATTTATCAGCATCAGAGAAGTTGAGAGAGGACTGTATCTTATGGAAAATCTCTATCCACCCTCTTTCTACATTTTTTGATCCCAGCGAGATCGTGACGACCATGGTCTAGATACACTCAACGAGTTTTGCCGGTACTCTGAGCGCCGCCTCAGAGCAGATTACTTGGTGTTGTTAAATGTCCCCTCTAAGTCCAAAAAAGTCCCCCCCACTACGAAGTCTCTTTATTGTATCTCCTCTTCAATAATTACGACGACCAAATGTAAGGCCGTCTCTTCAGAGTAGCCAGCTAGATACTGGTTGAAATGCAAGAGATTTTGCATCAACATCTTATCCCGAATGTAAGTATCGATCAACTTTTCTAGCAAGAATGCATTAGCGACTTTGTATCTAATTCAATTGTTACATTTGATAATATTCTTGAGATTTCCACGGGTCCTTTCTATATAAAGATTATGCATTTCGCGGGTTTCTTCCATTCTTGAAATGCCAACGTTTCGTGAATTTTGCAGTTCACTTCATCAAGGAGAGTATCCTTGCTAAAGTAAACACTTTCAGCAAACTCAGATCTTCCTTAGCCAAGAAACTATCAAACTTGGCATTCCTAAAACGCTGCAAGGATATAACAGGAGAATAACATCATCCCAAAGTTCCTAGAACTCAAGGATCATCTAAGAACTCATAAATCCAAAAACATCCTTCATAAAACCAGTCTCATCAAAGAATGCATTTACTTTACTGAATCATAAATAGTCCAGACTTCTCATAAAACCTTTAAATTCCACTTATATCTATCCATCATGTTGCGGCACGATATCTGGTAAATTCTAGATCGTATTACACGAAAAAGCTATGAAGGCCTATACACAATCCTCTGAAATACAGAAACAGAAATACATAAAACTTATCTCACAAAAATCCACAACCCTCTCTACATAACATCAAGAATTTATCTAACA